GGGGGGGGGGGGGGGGGAGGGGGAGGGGGCCTAGGAGGGTGGAGGGAGGAAGGGGGGGAGGGGGGGAGGGAGGGAGGGAGGGAATGGAGGATTCCAGTTCAAGTCCTGCCTGCTTATTCTCCCTTACAGGAGCACCCCTGCTGGTTCAGTCCCAAGGCTCACCCAGGCAGGTATCTGCTTTCTCTTTCTCATCAACAGGAGCCTTCTCCCAGCCCTGATATGTTCAAAAGCTTGTCTCACCCCTTCATTTCTTTACTCGGCTACGCATCAGAAGATCTGAGCCGGGGCTTCTCCTCACCCGCCACTTCTTCAGTTATTTTGTCCAAAACCTAAAGGAAAAAAATGCATATTCATAAAGACAATGTTTCTTTATTTTATTATTTATATGCCAGCTAACAATGGAGTCCTGCAAGTGCTTACAACAATAAATTTGGGGATTCTTCTGGACTCGCGACTCGTGTTTGAAGAGCAGGTGGCAGTTGTGCACAGCTTTAGGATGTGTGGCAGTTGCACCCATTCCTAGATCGGGAGGCTCTAACAGTCACTCATGCCCTAGTCACCCCCCAGATAGACTATTGTAACACGCTCTACACGGGGCTGCCCTTGAAGAGCATCTGGAAGCTTCAGCTGGCGCAAAATGTGGTGGCGCAGGCAGTTATGTGTGCTTCAAGAACTGCACACGTTACGCCTCTGCTTCATGAGTTGCACTCATTCCCAGTTTGCTTCCGGGTCCAATTCAAAGTGCTTGTTTTGACCCATAAAACCTGACACAGCATGGGAACAGGTTATTTGAGGGACCACCTCTCCCTAGTGACATCTACCCATCCCATTAGGTCCAGCAAGAGAGGTATGTTGTGGGTCCTGACAGCTAGGGAGTTTTATTGGGCAGATCCTAGGAGGAAAGCCTTTTCTGCTGTAGCCCCCACCCTGTGGAACATCATTCCCCCCAAGGTGAGGCTGTCCCCAACCTTATTGGCCTTCCAGAAGGCCCTAAAAACAAGGTTTTGTCAACTAGCTTGGGGATCCCATGGTAGAGTGGAGCCTGTTGCATGATTATATGATCATTAACTGATGCATTCTCTGTATGCTGGCTGCCATTTTGTTTTTTATTTTGTTTTTATCTTTAATTTAAATTGTGGTTCCACTAGTTTTTATGTATTTTACTTTTACGTATTTTGTTTATTATGTACGCCACCCAGCGTAACTACGTGAGATGGGCAGCTATACAAATATGATAAATAAATATATAAGAATCTCAGCAGCAGATAGCAAGAACCAGCGTAATTGAGCAAGCCACAACATGAAACAGTATAAATAAAACCAAGAATTTTGTCCTCTTCTCACTGCAGTCTGAGCGCTGGATCATTGATAATATTATTGCATTCCTAGTACTCCCAGACAGCTCAAATTTAAATATTAAGGAAGCCTCCCTAAAAAGCTGACTGTTTTAGTTTTCCACTGAAAAACATCAAAATAAAGCAACATCCACCCACATTTAAATCTAGGCAACTCTGATGGGAAGGCCCTATCATGTGTTTCTAATCTGTACATTTCACAGGGCAAGAGGACACCAAGCCAAACACATAAGCACATTCACAGGAAAAGTGACAGCTGTTCAGATACAACACCAAGAAATAAGTGAAGGCTGTAAAGGGAAGCTCCAGGCCCATATAAATGGGATTTGTCAACAGACTGGGTGCCAATGTAACTGATGGAAGAGACAGTCAGGATCCTGTTCAAACAGGGGTGAAGGAACCACCACCACCCTGCTCCAAACGCTGCTACTAAATGGTATTTTTAATGTCACAAAAGGGAGAGGGGATATTTAATGCAACTTTCCCCAGATTAGTGCCACTGATGTTGGAATTAGGGATTCTGGGGACAGATTTGACATAGCTAGAGGAAAGAGGTTGGGAAAAGCTAATTATATCTGTAGAGGTTAGGCTAGCAATAGCATTAATTTGTTAGATTTAAGTTTACAAAGGTTAGTTATTCCCCCTTGCAATTTTGGGGAATGCACTCTCCTGGCATGCCATTTAAAAGACAAGTGTGGCCTTCATGCCTCCAAAATCAAACACTGCGTTCAAGCTCCTGAAATGAATTCCAACTGCACTTTTTGGACATTTTAAAACTCGGGCCATTTAAAATAGTTCATTTCTCTCCTCTAACCTAGGGAGGGACAATAAGCAGGCCCAAGGACCTAGGCCAAGACTTTTGTTCCTATTAGGCAGTGGTGATTTACTGAAAATCATCAAATAAATTAATGATAACCCAGAGTACATGTGAGCTTTACGGATACCAAGTTATGTTGAAAATCCCACAGACAAACACAGAGGAAATGGAGTAAAAGAACAAGGATGCAGTCTTCTTATTAAAAGCCCTTGTCCAAAGATTGACGTGCCAAGGACTTCTTTTCTTGGTGGATGATAATGACTATAGTTTTATCCCACCTTTTTAATATAACTGAAGGCAGTGAACACACCTAACACTCCTGCCTCCTCTTTTCCCCACCACAACAAGAACCCTGCGCGGCGGGGTGGGCTGGGAGAGGAACTGGCCCAAAGTCGCCCAGCTGGCTTCACGCCTCAGGGAGGCCTAAAACTCACCGGCTCCGGTTTCTGGCCTGGCGCCTTCCCCACCGCACCAAGCTGGCTCCTCAGTTCTGCAATCCTGCACAACGGCTGTGCCCAAGAGCAGCACTTTATTAGCGCTGAAGACCACCGCACAACTTCAGTGCCTGCGGGGGCAGCGTGGAAGAATGGACTTCAGCTGGAGAAGGAAGAGCGGTCAAAACCTGGACGGGCACCTTCCTTAATCTGCTGCCCTCGCGTGCCTCCCCATCACCAGAGGTGGCCTTCGAAGTTGCAGGCCTCCGCTGTGCCAGGAACCTGCCTGGCCCTATATTCTACCAACCGGGTGGTGGTTGTGGAAACAGGAGGTGGGAGACAGGTATGTTCACCACCTTGACTTACATATAAAAAAGGTGGGATCAAATCGTCATCATCATCATCCAACGACATCTGCCCATCCCAGGACCTTGGGAAGGAGTCGATGG